TATATATATTATATATATTATATATATATATATATATATATATATATATATATATATATATATATAGGGTTAGGTTTATTTTGTTTTTACTAACTATTGTGTGTCAGAATGCACAAATCTGGACCAACGGATAGAATTCATCAATGGACATGATTTGAGAGTGTATGATATTACAATGGGATAGCATGTACCATATAATCATAAAAATTTTAGCAAAATGGTATTTTGGACAATTAACTACAATTATAAAAGGAAATTTTCGGATATTTATGGATAATTAATTCTCCTAATTTTAAAAATATAATTTTTTTTTTAATTAATTCAATTTTAATTCTAACATAATTTGTAAACATAACCGATTTTATTCTGTCAGAATATTTTTTTAGTTAGAATGATGCTCTTTTATAATTTTATTCTATTAGAATATTATTGAAAAATAACAAAGTTCTTGAATCTGAGGTTGGAAAATAACAATATTCTAATATATTCTTATACATCCAAACTTAAATACAAAGTCATACATATTCTTACAGACAAGCTAGTCTATACATTTTAATATAATTATACATATTCTAAAAGAAGATTAACAAAAATGAATAAAATTCTTAAAAAATAACAACATTATTAAAATGTGAGTATGTTCGAACTTTATTCGTTCTTCAAGTTATTCCTATTAGGTCTTCAACACATTCTTCCAGCCATTCCTATCACAAATACAACAAAAACTAATAATGGTTAAAAACATGTTGATTGCAATTAACTATCACTTTATATATTCTGGCATAATACATAGAATATATTCTGGCAGAATACATAGATTTTATTCTGGCAGGGTATATTCTGACAGAATACCTAGAATACATTCAAAAGTATCGTATTTACTGCTAATATAATTTTATATTCCAAATACACAATAACAAGGGAGAATAGAAGTTGGAATTCAAAATCACAAAATGAACCAAAATAATACACAAACAAATTACTTACCTTTTTAAACAGTTTTTTAGAACAAGATGAGTAGCTTTCACCAATCTATATTGGCATATGATATTAAGCCTTTACTATGTTGATATATGAAATCAAACACAATTAATTCACTGTGTTGGCATGTGAAATCAACCCCATGAGTATATACATAGCATATGGAAGACTACATAGTATACATTCTGGCAGAATATTGCCCATACTTTCTTTGCTTGTGCTCCTTCAATGGTTTACCTGTAAGTTACAAATCAACAACACAATTACTTACTCAATTTTCATGAGATGAGATAATATAAATTAATTTCATGATCATTCTTTTAATTAGGCCTATTGAAATTATATATCCATATGATGTGAGAATTGAACCAAACATAATTGAAAGGTAAACAACTATTTGAAAAAGTAAAAAGAAAACCATTACTCAAAATATAAGAACTATCTAAACTCAGTAACAATTCACTTAGGACAATAGAAAAGAGTTTTTAATGGACAAGTGACAAATTACAAAGTAAATCTTCATTTAGGCATTTAATCGAACACTTGGTGTTCAGAAAAAAAGGACTTGGATAACTAAAATCACTTCTGGAGAAACTTATATTATTATCAACAAATAAATGGTCTAACTGAAATCTATCAGTAGTGTTAAAATATATAATTTAAATTCAACAAAAAAATCGATTAGAACCCGAAAATCGCAAAAACAGAGGCTTTAAACTGGAGAGAAATTGTAAAAGAAAGATGATGTTTTTTTCAACCCATTGAATCGACTTACCAGATGGCCGAAATAGAATCTACATACGAGATTGAGGGATGACAGGTGAGCTTTTGTTTCAGCGATTGAAACTTTTTTGGGGTCGATGTCGACTTCTGTGGAGATAGTAATGAAGGGACGATGGTTGTTGAAGAACAAACACCCACGATGAACAATTTTGTATCCTACAAAATCATATTCCAAATCAATTAGAAAGTATTACTTAAAAAATTCGATTTCAAATAATCAATGGATTTCACAGATGAGAAGAGAAGCAATAAAATTGATTTCAACAAATCGATTTTTGCCAAGAAAGAAATCGATTTCAACAAATGATAGAATCTAAAAAAATAAATTTTGAGAAAAAAGAAAATCGATTTCATCAGTGTTGGTGGAGAACTCACGACATTGATGGAGGCGGGAGGTGGAAGTATTGGTGGACAGTGATCGGCTGGTTGTGACTTCACCGATGAATGGTGGACGAATCCGATGCAGTGGATGAAGTCGGATGCGGCTACAACTGTTGAACAAGTCAGAGACGTGTTCTACCACACACAAGTAGGTCAAATATATTTACCTTATTTCCTTAATTATAGGATTTCAACTAAATGATTTCCATAATTAAAAGTACAAAATGTCCAAAATACCCTTAAATGATTTATTTAATTATTTATTATTTCTTGAATTCTCATTGGTGCATTTAGGCACACAATAATTGCTAAAAACATTTGAACCTAGCTCTCTCTCTCTCTCTCTCTCTCTCTCTATATATATATATATATATATATATATATATATATATATATATATATATATATATATGTGTGTGTGTGTTCAGGTTCATTTGAGACCATTCTAATTTTGTGTGACTGTGAGACAAAATCTAAAAATAATTTTAAAATGCAAAATAAATGAAAAAAATCCAAAAATCCTTTTTTTAAATATTATTTTCGGAACTTGAATTAACTAAAAAAAAAATTTAAAAATAAAAAAAAATTCCGTTTTTTTTTTGAAAAATAAGTGAAATATTCTAAATAGAATATTACACTGACATATTCTAAATAGAATATTACACTGACATATTCTAAAAAATAATTTTAAAATGCAGAATAAATGGAAAAATCTAAAAATTCTTTTTTTAAATATTATTTTCGGAACTTCAATTAACTACAAAAATAAAAAAAAATAAAAAAATAAAAAAATTCCATTTTTTTTTGGAAAAATACGTGAAATATTCTAATAGAATATTACACTGACATATTCTAAAAAATGATTTTAAAATGCAAAATAAATGGAAAAATCCAAAAATTCTTTTTTTAAATATTATTTTCGGAACTTGAATTAACTAAAAAAATTAAAAAAAAAAAAAGAAATAAAAAAATGCGTCTCACGATCTCACAAAATTAAGCCGTCTCACATGAACCTAACCCTATATATATATATATATATATATATATATATATATATATATATATATATATATATATATATATATATATCAACATAAACAGATATGAAATTCTTTTTTCATACACATATAACCAACTATACTTCAGTGTGCAGCACAAAATCTAAACCTTAAACATAATAAAATACAATACAATCTAAAATATTTCAGTGCCATTCATGTATTATGATCTTCCAACTCAAGACTCAAACCAACTCGAACTTTCCATCTGTCCCTCCAACAAGTTCTACGTCAAGTTTGCTCTTCTGCACCCAGAAAATGATTCTCAAATGATCATCAGAACCGAAAGAGAACGATTAAAGACATTCTACTCCTCGAACGCACGTCCCCAAAAAGAAGTGTGGTCTCGGAAGAGGATTACAAAAATATATGTGTTCGGAAGAAACGTTTTAACAAAATTTGACTTATACTATTTGTTGCATTGCTACATGTCTTTGGATGTCTTTACCAAGTAAAAACTTTTCCATTCCGAATTTCCAGTGATCATACTCTTCAACAACTAGAAACGGGACACGAGAAAGGCAACTCACGCTATTTGCTATTTGTATTAAATACATTTGTTGAGAATTAGGAGCAACCATTGAAGTTAAGATATTAGAGCAGAAGTGGTATATAGAAGAATTTTTTACCCTGAACACAAAAATGATCGAAATACCAAGGTAATTTTGAATCAACTATAATATGTTCTTATGGACTCAAAGGACAAGCACTCAAGCTTTGATACCAATTATGAGTACTAGAATCAATGCGCAAGGACAAGGTTTGAAAATTCAAACCTTGAGTAAATCTTTAAGATCAATGTCTGCTCTTAATTAGAGGTTCCAGTCGAGCCTGGTAAAATCAGTCAAGACATGAATGAAATATTCAATAAAGTACTCAATATTAAATGAAGTAAACTAGGAGTATAATCAATGTAATGACATTTAATGAACAAGAAGAATGTTAAGAAAGATCTTGAATTGGGAGAAAAGTGAAAAATAATTAAAGAGATTTTTTGATATCTTTTGAGTAACAATGCATATGTTTCTTGTCATTTAAAACACTCCTTAAATAGACTAAGGAGGTACATCGTAAAGACTAAGTAAAATTCCTAAGACTGGTTAATAATCAACTACTGACAACTGATCATCTAAAAGATACAAAAAGACAAGTCCTAGAAACGTTACATCACAAATAAGACAAGAAACAATAAATGTTCAAACAGACAGCTAATCCTGGATCTTCATTGGATCTCGGAATAATCTCCATCTCTTACTCCATCTCTATTTCAGACTTCACCAATCTCGGACACTGTTGACTCCTTGTCTTCATTCATGTGATTACTAGAGGTTCACTTTTCATGTTTCAACAATCTCCCATAAGTGAACTTAGCAATTTGGCCAGCTTAGTTGGCTTCTTCTTGGAAGAACACATGAGCTCTGTATAGCCAGTTTCGGACTTCAAGATACCACTAAAGTTGACTAATGAACTTGGTCTTCACATGCTCTGGAGAATTTGACTTGGCCGCGTTAGAGATGAATTTTTGAAGAACTTTTAAGGGAATGAGGTGTTTGTCTAGGACTTGGAAGAAAAACTTTTTTTTTGTCTTCTTTTGCAGATAGAAGTATCCCAACACCAGTTGGTTTAGAGATTATGAGTGTAGACACAATTGGTTTAGAGATTATTATTTGTGTGCTCTTTCTCTTTCCGAGCAACTCACATTTTCAGCCTCATATTTATGTGCTTTAGAGATTCGGATCCATAAATTTTCTGAAGTATGGATCTTTTCCGAGGTTTGCATTTTTACTCCCTTCGAACCATTATTTGGGATTTTGGGTTTGCATATCGGTTATCAACATTACCTTGGTTAAGCATTAAGGTTCTTCACCAACGGATTTATCATATATATTAAACAGTGTTTGTTCAGTTCGGCAATACATCACCAAGTCTACCCATGACCCGAAAATAATATCCTTGTTTTCACAGGTAGATGCTCACATCAAGGGGGAGCATGCGATGCTCCATCATATCCGACATATTCTCTTGCACGGTTTCATGATTATTTTTTTATCTTTAATGCATGTTCGATAAAAAATAGGGGGAGAATCATGAGCATCCATTCTGATTTATTATTGGATTTTTGAGTTAGAGACATTTGAAGATGGAGATTGATTTAGTCCTGTGATGTGGCACTGATTTTGGATCTTCATAGATCAAATTTTTGGCATTACTAGATGTTTTTCGGATTATGATTATTTATCTTCAGACTCTACATGTTGGGATGTCTCATTTTGTTTTTGCATCCGGTTTAAATCTTATGATTTCTCGAGTTTGGATTTGCGATATTTTGAAGACGAATATTACTTTGGCGATGCGACGTGACACTTATTTTTGATCTTCCAATCAGATATTTGGCATTGCTAGACCCATGTCTTTGGATTCACATTATTTATCATTCAGACTTTATTTTTGGATGCTTCACATTTTCAGCATGTTATTCTTCATAGATTATTTGTTGCATTATCACTTGAGTTTGGAATATTAAAGACGTTGTGTGATTCGACATTGTGCTCTTGGGTTCTACAATCGAGGGGGAGACTGTGAACATGATTGGTTTTGGGGGATTGATCACATTTGAAGATTGGGATTTCATACTTTTATTCAGAGATTGGGCTCCTCTATATGTTCTTTAATGATAGAAATTCCATTTCCATATTTTGAGATCATGGCAACTTTAGGTTTTCCGAGACTCTTCAGCACCAGACCTACCGGGCCTTTGTCGGATGTTCTGGCTTTTATCACTGCTTTACCCTCACCATTTCCGAGAATTTAGGGGGAGATTGTTGGAGCATGAAAATTGTCTACAATGATGAGTGTTTATTAGGTTACAATATTTCCTTATACGAAAAACATATTCCCTCCACTAGCATATAAAGTGGAGGCGAGGGTCGTTTGATTAAAAGTGTGTTCACTATGTAGACATTAGTTTAGAGAGAGTTTTTGGGTGGGGATTCTCCCCATCCATGAGAGTTGTTCATGTAATCTTTTGTATATCTCTATCTATCCACTACAATTGTACTCACATATTATGTTCTTCATTGTTCATACAATTATCTTCTTGATATTATCTTTCCGCACCAATCCAATTGAGAAAACGGGAACCTACAATAAACCGAAAACCTAAAGTGCAACTAAACACAATATTCGGTGTAAAACTACTTGGTCTAGATGTACTTTGTTACTTGCATCCAAAATACTAGCTATCCTAGCTTTTTGCTAGAGATTCTTTGGTTGCTTACTATGTACATTTTGTTAAGCATCTATGCACCTTAAACCAAGTATAAAATCTAGAGTATTATTATACATGGTTACTTTCGGCCTCAAAACCTAAACCAAGTATAAAATCTAGAGTATTATTATACATGGTTACTTTCGGCCCCGAAACGGAAAACTTAGCTTTTCTTCCTAGGAATACTTAGAGGCCTTTATAACATATAGGGAATAAAAAAATCGTTGACATGTCGTTATTTATATATTCTTTCTGGTTAATCAGCGACCTTTTAGATACATTCTTTGACTATCTTATGCATGTTTCAATACAAAAAACATATATAAATATACATGTTAATAGGAGTATGGTAATAATGAAATATGTCTTTCAAACCATCACACTAAAATTAGTATGGAATACGATGAACTCTTTCTAAATTGTCTTTCGGAATGCATTGGTTTGGTACCATTCAACTAATAAGAGACTTATTCTTTAAAATTGGAACATATATTCCCAAAGGAATCCGAAGATCCGTTTCGAAATACTATGAGACTCTTCCAGAACAGTCTTTATGGAAAATTATTGATATGGGATGATGTAAATGAAAAGAAAATCCCCTTTGAATAGTGTCTCGAATACGGAATGGTTTGTTCCAAATTGTATACACACTTTTTTTTCTAGTCTCACCTTTTTTTCTCAATCCGAAACAAACATTAAAATTTTCATAAATGTCATGTTCCAAACGAACCAATCATTTTGCAAAACTAAATGTTTGGTCATTTTTTGTTACATACCTCTGTCTAAAATGGCTAGTCTTGTTAATATCCTTGTGACCAAATCAAGTTATTGGTGTTAAAATGATTTTAGATAAATGAATTAAGTATTGTTTTCTTCAATTTAAAAGATGTTATTGTTTGATTATGGGAATTTAATACCACTAATCATACCATGTTAGATTTTAACCCATAGCAAATTATATATACTCTTATTGGTGGCAAATCACGAATTTAACTTCATGTGTTTTCAATTTAACCAAAGTGATAAAATAAACAATTTAAAAATTATCTGTAATCATATGGGGTTCTCAATAATACAATTAAGATACATATATTTGCAATACCTAATGATATATGATATCAGACAGTTATTTCTAAATTGATCATAAATTTTCCTAAGGAAAATCACAAATTTCATATATTTTCAATTTAACTGAAATGAGATAATAAATGCATAAAAAATGATTTGTTACCGTGTTGGGTTTTCAATAATACAATTTAAGGTACGTATAGTTGCAATACCTAAATGATATATGACATCAAACAATCATTCCTAAATTGATCATAAATTTTATTACGTGAAATCACAAAATATTCTTTATCAACTTCATTGCTGAAACATACATCCTCTATAGAGGATGTTCAAACAATAAATTTAGAACGATTTTTTATATCAGATTATCATCGGATATATAATATGACCTTGTTTTTATTAAACATCTATTCTAGTATTTACCCAAGCCCATAGAAATGTATCCATATAAATATTATCATATCATATATAATTTTTTTTTCCAAAGGAAAGTGCGTCCATTAATATATGTTCTTGTCAAACAGACCGGTCTTTGAACCCTATGTCACTATGTGTTATATCATATATTCTGACATTTTCCATGATACTAATGTTTTATTATAATGAGTTGATGTCATTGAACAGTAACCAAATTTCCTTCATCCTTCATCCGATTACTTTTAGTTGTAGTTTGAGAAAAGTACTGATATGCACTTGTATGTATGCATGCTTTCTATGTACTTTTGAAATGGAAAACATTTAGATCTTTTATTGACCTCAAAAATTAAAAAATAGATAGTTATTGATACAACCATGCGTACATGATTATCAACCAATGACATTAACATTGCATTATATTCATACGATCTATAATCTAAAATCGATAACTTAATCAATAGTTATCCTAACCAATAAACTTATTGAGAATTACCACAATCAAATGAGTCAAGTAGCCAAGTACTTTAACAATAAGTTGTACCAAGTTGTTTGTAATACATCTCTACAAAATTGATTAAGCTCATTGATTAAATTAATTATAGTCAAGTCAATCACTTGAGACCATGATTTGGCTTCAACTAGTTTGGAAGTATAAGGTTGGAGGGAGCCCTTATTTCTATCTTTCTGAATCTCTCTCTCTCTCTCTCTCTCTCTCTATATATATATATATATATATATATATATATATATATAACACCACGATCTTGGTACGTTTGCTTTTTTCCCTTCATTTATTAAAGTTGCATTTTTTAGCCCTTGAAGTTGGTACGCGGGGCGTACCACTTGGTACACTTAGCGTACTGGCTAGAGTTGGATCAGGACAGCAGGTGCATACGTTGGGCGTACGTGTGACTTCCAGAAACCCTAAAGTGGGGTGTTGCACCCTATATATTCATCTTGGACCTTTGGAGTTGGCCTCATTTCTTGTCCCTAAACCTCCAGAAAACCCTAAACGTCCCCCCTAGCCTCCATTCTTGCATCTTTGAGCTCTTGATGAGAAAATTTTGTTGTTTTGGTCCAAATTTGAAGAACCTAGAAGAGAGTGAAGTTCATAGCTTGGTGGGAGACTTGAGATTCAGAACCCTCCATCACATTGCAATCTTCCTAAGGTATCAGGTTCAAACCTTGACTTGTCAATGTATAGTTTTCTTTATGGGTTGATTTGGCTCAATTTTGGTCCCTTTTCATGGATTGATGGTTTTGGACGATTTGAAGGGATCATTTCATTATATCTGACTTTGTTAGAGGCTTCCTTGGCATAAAGGTGCCATCTTTATGGGGTTTTAGTCATCATTCATGCATTAAGCCATTTATTTAGTCATTTCTAAGCTTAATAGCTTCATTTAGCCATGCATGAACGTAAAATTAGCAACTTTACGTGTTATTTTAGCTCATGGAAGTTAGATCTACGTTTTGGGGCCTTATCTTAAAG